TTATCACATCGCGCTTTAGCCATCACGTGACGTTCATGTGAGTAAAGCGGCGATCTTTTTTTTCCCCTGCCGCGTGACACGCTTTACGTATTTTACAAGCTAAGATTAATCGCTCGCTCACAGTTTCATCTAACTATAAAGGATTCTAAATGCGTCGCTTTAAGCGCAAGCGGCTGAATACCATTATCAATCTTGCAAGTTACTTAGTTGATAAAAACTTGTTACAATCTCTGAAACTCGGACGAGAAAGAAAACGCGCGCGACGTATGCGCCTACACATTTCACGCGTAACTATTTATTACTATCCGTAATCTTTCTGTAAATATACTATCTGTAACTTCAATTTAATTGTATTTGATTGAAATTATTTGCCCGATCTAAATTAAAACGAGTTAAGATACTTTATTTCATTTGCATGAAACTTTATATTTGCGTTTTGTGCTTTATCAGAGTTTCGATATCTGTACTTTAAGGAAGTCATCCAAGTATCAATAATGAGATAAAATACTAATTGGAACTAAGAACACAGAGGCGCGCATTCAGTCAAAGGATTGACATCGGTTATGAAGCGCCTTTACAACCTTACCGTATTGAATCGCTCGCACCGTCAATTTATTTTAAGAACTTTTCTTACGTAGAAGCTTATTAATAACCAACAAGCAATTTTATATCACTCTCGATATTTTCAGTAAAAAAAACATAAAAAAATATGTCGATGTACACTGAGAAGAAGTCACTTAATGTGTATTATTAGGCAATTATGGGCGTTATAATTAAAATTATAAAAAGGGGAATTAGCTTCCCTTTGACTTATTGTTTAACTTAGCTTTCTGCAGCTCTAAAAATTGACAAAATATTTTTTAAGATTTCCGAGCAGCAATTATAGATTATAAATCATAAATTTCTTAACGTAGTCATTAAAGATCGATAATTGTATCAACGATAAGTGCACCAATAATATTGCAATCAATAATCAATATTATAACATAGCTAGAAGATATATTTGTCAAGAATTAACTATTACGCACGTACGTCCGTTAATTTTCGGGATGTCGGCCTTTGAAACACATTTAAATTGCAAATGGCGGAGAGACCTTATTACCACGAGGTAAAAGTTCTTTTTAAGGAAGCGCAACGAAACGTGTAACTAAAAAGACGGGTGCGGCAACATTTGAGCAAATGCAGGTAAGAAACACGTATTTCTTTAGAAAACGCTGCTGTGTGGGTGGAAAAAGGAAGTGTATCGGGCGGTGCGTTCAAGTACGCGCGCGTCAATGGCGCGTGATTTCGCGACAAGGCCAAGGACCGCTAATTTTTATCAACAGCCGAGAACGTTTCAATAACGCGACGTAACGAAATTAATCGCGGAGAAGGTCGCGGATATTCTCGCGCGCGTTTTCCGCCTACGCCTGGAACCCGACACCAAGCAATTTGCGGATGCGCCGCTCGTGACTTTTCCACTTATTAAAAACTAATTCTCAAGCGTGCGAAATAAAAAGAAATAGACGGGTGCAAAAATAGCTCGAGCCGACGTGGTATACATTTTATTTTCGTCGAAATGGCTTCGCGTCGAATTCAAGTGAATGCAGCGCGGTTTCACGACGAGGAATTTTGATATTGTTAGTTGGCGTTTTAATATGCACGGTTAAAAACAAACGTTAAAAAATGTATATACAGTCGTCTATGTTTACTATGTTATTTATTTGCTCGTATCTATTTTTATTTTTACTCCTATTTGTTTTATTATTTCATTAAGTCGTTAGTTGTTTTTTTTAGTTTCGTTAACTAAACACAAGTGGAAGAGACAACTGGGTATGCGGGCGTTGAAATTCTGTCCAAATAATAATTCCGAATGCGAAAGACTTTGGACGCCCCCCCGTCCGGCTTTCCAATTTCGCGTACCGCTTTCCGCGTGAGATCCGAATTATCGATGCCGCTTAACATGGTTTTTGCGTGATTCGGTGGCTTTTATGCGCGATGAAACCGTACCCGTTTGTACATGGAACCGGGAGAGAAACCCCTCATATGCACGCGAGAAACACGGGGTTCTCCCGCGCACGTCGTACGTGCACAGAAAACAAATCGAATCTATCGATTCAATGCACGACGCGATAACGTTTATTCATCTAATCTATATTCGCATAGTTCTCTTTTATTTGCCTTAGCTCGACATAATTTAATCACAATTGTTTTTCGCTTAATGAAGTGGAGTGTAAGTATTCTCGAGGGAAATATGCATTTATGTATGAGCTTCGGTTTAAAGATGACAAATTATTTCCAATTTTTTTACTTGTCCGTTTAAAAGTCATTAGTTAATGAATATTGCTATTTTAACGTTAAGTCTTACGAAAACTTTCGGAAAAAAAAACAAATAATAAATTATTCAGAAACTATCAAAAGCCAATGTTAAAAATTCTAATTTTTTGTATCTTGTTGTTCAAATGTAAATGTTTCTGCCACGTTTTGAGACGATTTTCTTGCTCGTTTTGCAATTATTAAAAAACGACGAGAAGTGACAGCAGACCGACTTAACGTTTCAAGCTTCACATTTTCATCGAGGTGGAATCCTAATTACAATGAACAATACTAACTGTGATTTCGTGAATTATGTAACGATTCGAATTAACGTTCCGTTCAATTTTAATTTTCTGAGTTTCGACATGGACTTTTGGAAGAGACGATCTATCCGATACATCCCTAATGAGAAGCCCCGCGTTTTTCTCGTCCATTCTCCACCCGCGCCTGCTGAGGATACGGAAAAGAAGAAATCGCAAGGACCCTCGATCTCTTCATCGAGACTTGCCCGAGCGGTCGAGATGCAATCGTGTTGGCGGAGGACGAACGGACGAGGAGTGCCCCGCGGGTTAGAAAATAATATCTGGCTGTCGACCCTCGCGGCCGGGGGGAGAGATTCTCTCGAGTATAAGTAGAAGAGTCCAATTAGACGGCCGGCTGTCGAGGAGCAGACGTTCGCGGAAATTCCGCTTCGTTTGTAATTTCGAGGAAGGGAACAGAGTTTATCGAGATAATATAGATCCGACGAGAGAATCGAGCCGTTGGTAATGCGAACGATATCGCGAGGCGAGGCAGGAAGATCGAAACACGTTAGGCGAGCTACGTGCACATCGCAAGCTCGACGCAAGTGCGATTGCGCCGCACTTTCCGCAGAGCGTGCTTTATAATTCATCTTGCAGAGCGCCGTCGGCGGTCCGGCGCATTCGAATGCGTTACTCTTGCGTAATTCACGGCGCGGTTAATACACGACGCGGCGACTAGATCGGATTTTCAGATTAGTAAACAGAGTCGTTGTACTTTGGCCGACTCGGACGAATGTTGGGTAACCGTAAATCACCGGCGGCTCTCGTTCAAGATATCCCAAAGAACTATATAGAACGGCTCTGTTATTTTGTCTCGTTGCCTTTCATCCAAACTCATTTTAATACCCGTTGGAAATTCTCAAAACCAGAATACACACGTGCAATTGAAACAATAAAATTGTACTGTATCCCACGTGATATTCGAATATTTGTATTTTAAAACATTTCACGATAACAAAGAGAATAAAAAGTAGCTAGCGGACGATCTGAACGTGAACTCTCATGGAAAACATATACAGGGTGGAGTCATTTTAATCGACGCAAATATCTCTTTGGGGAAGGGAGCTGGTTTCGAGGAGGACATAAGATGGTGTCATTAATACATGCTTATATCTGAGTTAGATATACTCAAATATGATTAGATATAAACATGTTTTCCCGGGTGTTTAGCTTATAATATCTCGATAACTGTTTGTCGGAGGGAAAAGTAGTACAGGGCTTTTTACTTCATTTAGTCTCAGGAATATACTTGAAATTTTCTCTTGAATATTTCAAAAAGTATTAAGCTAATAAAAAAATGTTTCAGACAAAAGTTGTTCATATTAATTAGTGGAATAAGATAGTATAATAAACAATAGGGGATTTTACTTAAAAAATTGAAGGTGATCTTTACGCGACTTTTAAGCAACTATTCAAGGTCAAATTAATGACACCATCTTATGTCCCCCTCGAAACCCAACAACTTTTGCCCAGATCATTTTTGGCTAACCACCTTCCCCGGAGAGATATTTGCGTGCGTCGATTAAAATGACTCACCCTGTATATTTTGTTGTCATATTCTTTGATATATAAATGCGCTTTTATAATTTGACAGTTTAATCTTTTCGCCTTTTTTGCCGGACAGGTAAAAAGCCATGTGAGATCTCGTTGCCGATAAGTCTCTTTGTTTTATTCGCAAAAAAAGTACACGAACAACCGACCGAAGGATATTGGTCGACGCGCTGTTCAACGGTGCATGAACGGCCCATAAAGTTAGACATGCTGGCACAATTAAACCGTAATTTCGCGCTGACAATGTTTTTTCGCGATTTCAAGAACACCCGGGAAATTACCAATTTGACGCAAACAAAAGTCGCTATGGTTTGCATAATCTTTTTCTCGGGCAAAAATTACGTATTCCTTCAATATTCACTTCCGCATGAATACGGCGCCTTTAAAAAACAAATAAAAGTCTAATAGGAACATAATTTACTTACACTTCACAAAACAAAAGGATGTATTTGTTCAATGAAAACGTAAATTATAAATTTAGACTTTCAAAGTGACGTTTAAATACACGCAGAAAGTTCCGGCTTATAAAAATTCTGTAATTAAAATCCAATCGTACTTTTTATCGAGAATTTATAATATTTTAAAAATTCAATTCTTTTTTATGTCATTGCGTAACGTACATCGGTTATAAACTGTTCCACCTCGAAAGCTATCTTTTCACGTTTGTGGAACGTATCGTGCGCGGTCTAATGGTTCTAAAATAGGAAATGCAAATGATCGAAACGAGACAGAATAGCCATATCGCTCGTTTCCGCCGCCGGTGAATTACGTAAGCGTCTCGCGTGCGTCGCGTTATTTCACGAGATTCGTCGAGTCATTACGCTAAGGGAATCATCGTGTATGGCCACTCACCAGTCTGGAAACAGCACCAGCGCCTCGGCGAGGATGTCCCGCAGGAGGGTGGTCGCGGGCGGCACGTGCGGCAGGATGACGGGTGCGAAAACACCGCATACTCCGGCGCTGCGTCCATGTCGCGCCTCGTACCGGCTAAGGTAGATCGTCAGGTAGCCGAGCAGACGGTAATGCGAGGACGGCAGGGTCGACAGCAGTTCCTTCGTCGAGGCGATCCACGAGTCGTGATCGTTCGCGTAGCTCTCTGCGACAGACATTTTTACAGTATTTATCGAGAGCGTCGGAAGTGAGGCGGGTCGGAAATCAAAGTTGCAACAACGCTCGATAGCAAAGTCTCCCTCTAGCACTGAACCGTCCCGTATTCGTTCCAATTTCTAAATGGAAATTTCCAAGTTTAAAACTGAAACCGCATCTTTCAGATATCTCGGGATAATACTTCGCGTCTCCCTCTCGGGTGAAATCCTCAATTACTTCGAGAAATTGACAGTGTTGTGAATGCTCACGGGCGTGAATGTTGAGCAGTCTGCCGACGAGGGTGGATGGTACGACCGGCTGCGGCAATTCTTTCAGATACTGGCGTAGGAGGGTCGCGGCCGTCGGCGGGCACCCGGCCGCCTCCAAATCGGCGTCGCCCCGTCGCTCGAAGGCCGCCCTCAGCCGCTCCGCCAGGCGCGGACTGCCGCCCGACAAGCGGAACACCGCCGCGCTCTGGAAGCCGTGCGCCTCGATGTAGCTGCATAGCCGGTGCACGACGTACGGCACGCCCGTGTCGAGGTACGACTCGATCAGCTCCAGCCGGGTGCCGAAGATCCTGCTGGACCCAGCGCGGCCCAACAGCGAACCTGCCAGGACGCGCTTCACGCGAGCGAGGCGAGACTCGTCCTGTAAACGCGACGTACGTGGATCTGTTAGGTCGCCCCTGCGCGTTTTCTTTCCGTAGCGAAATACGCGATTTACGCTCTCGAAAGTTCGTGGAGTGAAAATTACTGCCGCGGAGTCAAGTATTCGCCTTATTGGAGTGAATATTTACTCCGACGGTGAATATTTCACTTCGTGGCAGTAGGTTCACTCTAACAATTTTAGAGAGTGCGTGTTCCGAATTACAACAGTTAAATTAAGTTATAGAGAGCTAAAATGTTATCAGCACGTAAAAACTGCCGTAAAGAAAAGACTTCTTCGAAAGTAAATTGCAAAGTGAAGATATAGTAACGTAAAGCTCGCGGCAACAACGATATTCCTATCTGTTTATTTATTATTATTTGTTAAGTGTGTAAAATAGCATTAATTATTAAGTAATTATTATTTAATTGCAATATAATTACATTTTATATTATAGATGTATGTAATTATATAACATTTAGTAATCAAATATAATACAATATTGTGGCTGCGTATTAAAATAAAATCGATTATTAATTTCTTTCCGGGTCAAGTCTAGCTATATGTATTATAAAATTCTGAGGCTCTCTCCGATACCCCGGTATTTATGCTTCTTCATTCGTCCGAGGTCTAAACGACGTACCTTTTGCATCCACTCTGCGCGCTTTACGTCGAGTATCGAGCGATAATTGATATTTCCGACATTCGCAAGACGGGTCGTATAAATGATTAGTAAAGTAACAGGGAACGAGAAAGCGTAATCGACGAATGGCCGCTAAGTGTTGAAAAGGCAGTGCATCGACAAAGTAGAGTAACGAATAGATATAGACTCCGCATTCCCGCTCAATGCAGTATAAGAAGAACCGGAAAGTTTCTATAGTCGCATCTTAAATATATAGAACGAGAGCTGCTATATGCCATTATCTATTTATTGAGACAGCAGTAGCCGCTACAGGTAGAAACTTCACGTAGCAGTTCTCCTAATCGTTATAAATTAATAAACGTGCAAAAGTACAATAGAGCTTGAGGGAGAGGTAAATTTATCGGATAAAAAATTATCGCGCCATTACTACTCGCGTTAAAGAGTACACGACTTACTCGCAGAAATACATATGCGTTTGTAATTCCTTCGGTACGCATCGGATATGATTATTAGACTAATAGCGAGTTCGAACTAGTGCGCACTGAGTGCACACTAAGGCCTGTTTATAGTCCATTTTTACATTTGACTTTGCCTTAAATACATGTACAAAGAGTATTTTGCCAAAAAATGATCCGTATAGACGCTATGCAGATCATTTTACTGGCTACGAAATATTTCAAGAAGTATCTGAGGTGATTCTTAAATACAAAAATTGACTGTAAACAAGCCTTAGTGCTGCACTCGGTGCGCGCTGGTGCAACCGAATTCGCTACAAGATAATTTGCAACGAAACGTCGTAACGCAGAATTACGATACTTGGCGTTAAATGTGAAATTGCAGCGAGTGCCGCGAAGAGTGCCTACCTTATCGTGTGTTTGACGAGAGCACGTGGGGCTTGTTGAGGGTCCATGATGATGGTGATGGTGATGATGATGGAGATGTTCTTGCTGAGGGCGTCTCATCCCACTTTGTCTGCACCGCGACCTGCTGCCGCACTAACAAAAGCGAGCAAACTTGTGAGTCGCACGATATGCGACGGCAAGCGAAACGACGGTCACTCGAAGTTACGTTATTCGCTATCATTCTTGCGCCCGAGTAAAACCCCCGCTCGCGGTTTGTATCGTGGTCGAATCGGAGAAGAAACGTCGAAAAACTCTCTAACTAAAACGACTGTGAAAGACGTAGGAAACTGAACGATTCGGAAAACTCGGGATATTCATGTCCGCGACACTGGCGGCTAATAAACGTGAATTTAAATAGATAAAGGGATTTTTTAGGAATAAAATAGAAAAAAATTGCCGATCTCTTTTTGGACGGAAGCTTCATATCGACCTAACGCGAGGTAACTGCCGTGTCATTTGCACGATCGTGCTAGGAAACGCGGCACGTCAGTGCGCCGACATGACACTGGCGGAACAATCGCGGGGGTAATTTTCAATATTTTCGCAAGCGCGCGATCGATAGACGACGCGTGACGAGAAACGCGCATTCATAACACAGGATAAGCTCTACTCGAGTAGATCGATGAACCGTAAATGTCGTCGTCCTCGCTCCTTCATCAACATCCTTTAGCGCGATAAAAATATGCAGACGCATTGATAAACTGTCGCGCCGTAAACACAAACCACCCCGTAACACAAATACATTAATCGTTCTGAGAATTATCCTTTTCTCAGACGCGATATCTCGATACCTCTTGCGCGCGAAGAGAATCTGACTTTTAATCGGGACGCTCTACTTTCATTCATTTATTATTGCAGCGTTATATCTATAATGTTATTCCTCTTCGGGTCGGCGTATTTCAGTTTGCATAAGTCGAAAGAAATTATTCACCGGGTACGAGCGGGTTCCTGACAATTGCCAGCTGTCTCGAGTAGATAATTTTTCCGCGGCGCAAGTTTCATCCAGCGACACAAAGTGTGTTATCGAAAATAACTCGCCGACCGTTGCACCGATAACCGATACCGCGGCTGCTCAATTTACCTCGTCATCCCTTCTTCCATGGGAAGAAGGCGCGCAGCTTCGAAGGGCGATCACGAGACGGTGGATGGTCGCCGGCGACGCTCGCTCGCGCGACTGATGCCGAACGGGAAAATTTCACGCGGATTACTCGTGCACTTGCACCAAAATTGTGCCAAAATTTCGTCGTTACGTAACCGAGCGGCGAGACTCTTGCGTGCGCGTGACATAAATGCGCGGCTTTTTATCTATTAATCGCCTGCGCACCGAATTTGTGACGCAAATTGGAAAATTACAGTGTCGTTCTTAATCGCGCCACGAGCCTGGGTATTGGTCATCCGAAAACCGATCGTTTTATATAGATTACTTCGGTAAAGACACGAGACATTGTGTGTTCACTTCTACTCTAGTATGTCTCTAGTGACGTTGTAATCAATTAATACAAAGGAAATATTGTTGTAAAGCAATTGTCATTACGTACTCCCTGTATAATCGAGCTATCATAACTTCAATCATTGTAAGCATATCATTGTACATCTTCGAAAAGTGTAATAAAAAATATCAGTTGTAATTTAATGTTAGTTTCATACTTTAGGTCATATTTCAAATAAATCAAATATTCTAATGCATCAGTAGATTAAATAAATTAACAATAAGATTAGCGGCTTTGTACATCCAATTTGATTAAAATCACGTTTGCTCTATTGGTTTGTACGCAGATTAATGATCGATCAGTCAAAATTGCTAATTAATTTATACATGTACTAATTATTCGTCATTTATGCCGCTATCAAGCATAAAAATTATCACAAGCTAACGTAAGATGTTATCAAAAAGAAACACTTACAATGCACTCTCTCGCGACCCTCCACAGGTTGAAGTACACTGAGCTCAGCGTGGCAGCTGTCTCGTCCTGCTCCTCCCTCTTGTCTTCCCCTCGTCCGGTTTCGCCGTAAGTACGTACTGATAATGTCGTCTCTTCCGGGTTACAATCGTGCTCCTTCGATCCGGCCAGTTCCGGCGACTCGGATCACGGATTTATGTCGAGTATCGCGAGTACCGAGCACCGAACGCGAGAGACCGTGTGCACACTTCCTCGCTCGAGAGCCGCCCGGTTTCGATTTCAATTTATCTCGGAGTAACACGAGAAAAAAAGAGGAAAAGTCGTTCTTGTTCGTCTTCGTGGTTGGAAGGGCAAGGAACGACTCGTGGGGGTGCGCGTGGTGAGTGTACGTATGTATGTATATATAGTGTGTATATATATGTATATATATGTATATATATATATGTATATGCGAAAAAGGACTCTCGCAGAGCAGAGAGAGAGAGATAGGAGGGCCGTCGAAGAAGAAGAAAAGTCCTTCTTGCGTGCGCGCGAAAATTTCGAACGACCGCGTGTGTATTATATTCGGCTTTTCTATCGGTTTCTTTTTTTCCCTTAAATCGTTTTACGGCGACGACGACGCCGTTGAGCGGAGATCGTGCGACTCGACTAGTAGTTCTGGGTTCATGTCCCTATCACGGCACATCGCATCGAGCCCTTTCTCTGAGGCAAAGGGCACTGCCTATGGCTGCTTCAGGAAGTGAGTCGACACCAGCCGTAGCGTAAGCATCGAGGGTCGGAGCCGGGATGAGGTCTAGGTCACCACTCCGCTCCTGGCCCTGGCATGGTCTACGTACCTCCTGCTCGGGCGCTTACTGCACCCGCTGCGCTCTGGAAGCAGAGAACGCGTAAGGGAGATCCTTCTATGCTCGCCACTAATTACGGAAGATACTCTTTAACGTGTCCCTTTGCGAACAGCTTTTTCTACATTACATTCTGAAGTACAATGAATCTAGAGACTCTTCGTAGTGGATATTTACTTATGGAAGGTAAAGTAGCGCTTTTAGGCCTCGATTTTACTTCGCGCGGGAAATAACGGGCTCGGCCCGACTTGATTTCTCGCGCGATATCAATTTAATCTCTCCCGAGTGTCAGCTCGATGTTAACGCGTTTAATATTAATAATAATAACGAGCTGCAATAGCTCTTGACGCGTGATATAGATTTTAAATGATTTGTGTCTATATATAAGACTATCGTTCTATTTCTGCACGTGCGGTACGCAGCACGTGCATATAAATTATGCATATATTATTTGACAGGCACAATAGGTCGTTAACTTATGAATACACGCTGGTAATTAAACAAGAGGCAGCCCGCGTTCGCTTCTCACCGATTAATCATTCCCGTGCAAACTGATATCCGTTTCTAGAAGATTGAGAGAATCGCTCGGCGCGAAAGAACAAACTCGTGTGTACTCTGCTGTCAAAAATATTTGTCAACTTTTCTAAGTATTCCCTTTACGCTGCATGCTGTAAGAATTACAAGCTATACGAATTGAAATAGACTCCGTGCCGCGGATGCGCGGAAGCCGTACAATTCGCACCTAATCCTGACTCGACCACGTAACACGGTCCAATTTGATTACGCTCGTTGATTCGTTTAGCGTGTCCAGTCGCTGTCGAGACTACGATCGTGTTTGAAAGGTGTACGCTAGGAATCGCTGATGCCTTCCCGTATGAATTTAGGCTCATGTAGAACACATATACATTTTCCATGTATGTATATGCAAAATGTATAAGTGTGTTGATATGTGCACAAATTCGTGTGGGAAGGCATCAGTGATTCCTACTGTGCATTGAGAAAAAAATCGAGCAACACGTCTGTGTGGACAGCTACGGTTTTCTCACGACGTAAGCTGCTTGACGAGATTTGCTAATTTGCTAAGTTTTAATCGATTCAATGTGGTAAAAACTTAAACATTTATTAACTATATTTGCGATATGAAATAACAGTCAATGTATTTGCATGCGAAGGAATTCGAGATAAATCTAGCTTCCGTCGAAATTTACATTGATTTATCAATATTTATTATATGAAGCGAGAACTGCGAGCACTGCAGATTTTGTAGAGACACGGCGACGAGTCGATGTTAATGCATTTTGTAGCAGAAGAGTGTGCAATTAATCGTGGCTCTCAAGCTTTTCAACGCGACAGCTCATGAATTAATTAACGCCCGTGATGCTCGAATTTAATTTAATTAATATCCATCATTTGCCCATTTGCGACAATCGTCATCGCAAGCTGGTAACAATTATATATCTTGAAGGCACCGTTTTTACAGGTGTCGTGAAATACAGCGAGTCAGTTTCAACTCGACCCATTTCGATACGTTGCAATCTAATAAATATTTCAGCTCAATACAAATAAAGTACGTTTCACGAAAGAGACTTTTGTTTAACATTTACATTGTAACTTTTTCCATTAAAATATTCTATTGACTCAAGTAGCACGGTTGATTGTAAAAGGCGTGAGAAGTCAAGCTATTGTTAATTAGAGTGCTTTGTGGTGGTTAAAACATATTTGAAATTGTAAAGTGTATGTATAGATATAAAGTAATAAATATTAAGTATTTTTCCGAAAAGCCTTGAACCAGTGCATTCTTTACCGACTCGATTGTGACAGTTTAATTTTCAAACCCTAAGATTTATCTCTTCTCACACTGACCAAAAAATTTTTTTAACTAAGTAAATAGATTTACTTAAAATTATTTTTTTCACTGAAGTAAATGTTTATTCTATTTAAATAAAAATATCAAATTTCAAGTAAATCTGTATTATATTAAGTAAATTAATTTTAATCGTTACTTCTTCTACATTCAAATAAAGATTTCATGAAGTATGGAATACTATTTATTAAATGAAATAATTATTTTTGTTAGATAAGAAATCAAATTTTCTTCGCAGTAAAAGTTACATCTTAGTAAACATTTTATAGAATTAAAATAAAACATTTTTAATTTAAAACTATCCATTCTTTGATATTTAATAAATACTTAAATTAAAGCAATGCATGATTTAGTTTGTTTATTATTTTGTAAATTTAAGTTAATAAGCTATTAGGAGCCACCTAATGAATACTTTTCTTGAGGAAAGTAATACTTTTTTGGATTAAGATATTTTTTTTATCAGTGCATCAATGATCCCCATTCACGTCTAGAAAAACTAATTTACTCAACTTTCGAGATAGACCACTCGTATCGCGATACTGTCTTCGATTTCCGTTTCCGTAGTGTGTCGATACGACACGAGAGATTTCGCGCGGCTTACAGTCGGGCGAGAATGAAATTTGCGTAAGCCGCTTGGCGCTTTTTCGCGCGTTTCTCTAAACTATTTCACGTTTTGACAGCCGCGTTACATGAGAAACGGGATATAATTTTCGTGAATAATTACGCGGAAAATGCGCTTGACGGTTTTAGCAGCGTAATGATCCATTTAATGCTCATTTAAATTAACTTCCAGCCCGAGCCTTGAAGCAATAAAAATAATAACATTGGCGGATTTCCGCAATTTGCGAATCGCCCGTGAATCTTATGCAATCGCGGCATGCGCGACGTATTGCAGACAAGATTCGGTACGAAGACACGGAAAGGGTTACGTCACTATTCTCCCAACTTCGCGTACACCGAACTGCGCTATTCGGTATGGAAACTGCGCGCGAATGTACGGCATATTCACTTATTCAGCGATACTGCATCCGTTATAGCAATGCAGTGTCAGCGAAATGCGACTGTTTGTTCCCATAGCCCGCGCTAACAATAAGTGAAGAACTTCTTCAACAAATAAGACGGAATGAGTCAGATCCAAAGACACAGCGAAAATTTACAATCGCAGGTAATCTCGTCAACAGATCGTACGTGTAACGAGCATTCGATAATTGATCAATAAAAAATCACGAGGTTCGCGCCGATCAGTTTTAACAAACGTTGAGAAAATCACATTTAATCCTTCGGCCAATTTCCTTTGAAGACACACGGGCCATCGGACTCTGCCCCGGCGCATGTTCAATCCTTGTATAGATAAAAAATTAATATTAGTCGGAAAACAAACCGAACTTCGGTGTGCCCGGACAGTTTTTCGATATACCGATTAAATATTATCGACGATCAAGATGAGGGCCCCGCTCGGAAACACTGACCCAATACATTTCAGGGGAAAATTGCAGCGGAAAGATTCGTGCGAGAGCGATCGATTCGCTCGCTCGCTCGCTCGCTCGCTCTCGCCAAGTTATCGTGCGTGGCATCAGCTCCAGCGGTGCATGCCCGTGTAGGGTGTCTGCGATCGATATTTCCCGTGAGAGGGTAAATGGAATGAGCGTTTAATTTCGTACGGCGGAAGAGCCGGCGTTCTCTCGGCTAATGACGTGCCGATCAAATGGAATGCACCTGTTCGCGAAACGTCAGGCGCCGCGAGACGCGACTCGCGTAGAAATCGCATACGTACGAGGTAGCAGCGCGGACAATTAACAGTCGTCGCATTCCTTATTGCCCGCGATAGACATATGGAATGTGAGAAATAAAGGATAAAGGCGCGCATGAGAGAGAAAGGGAAGACGCGAGGAGGGGCTTGCCTTTATTCGCGTTTCAAATTCAGAACCTGCGATTTAAGCTCACAATCCGTAAAAGCCACTTTACGGAGGCGGTTCGTGCGGCAAGAGATAAAAAGGGAGCTCGAGGGGGATCACGCGAGTTATGAATATTTCACGCCGATTTTGCAAATTTTCCAAGGCGAGAGAAAAGAAGCCTTCGCCGACTACGGTTCCGCTAATTACGACTCGACGTACCTCAACACCCGACGCACTCCCTGGCGCGCCTTTGAGAATTCCAATTCCCAGATTCAGCGCTTATATATACCTACATTTCATATTTCTATCTTCCCCCGCGCGCTCTTTATTCCCCTCGCATCCCGTTTTTATAGTTCATTGTGCCACGACCCTTGCACCTGCGCCTCGGCCGAGAAGGGGAGGCCGGGGGAGGGGAGGGGGGAGCACGTTGCACTTAGCAACAACCGCACGTTTTTATGTAAACCATCAGAAAGAAATCCAATTCCGTCAGGTCGACGACGTGTCGACGCGTTTACACGGTTCCCCGAGATGCAGGCCTCCTCCCCCCCCGCTCGCACATTCACGCGAAAGAGATCGGGGACCCCCAGCTGAGCCCTCAACCCCCTTCACGCGTGAAACGTATCGGACACTTGGCGCGATCTGTCTCTAGATCGCGGTGCCCTTTATAACCTTTCCGGGTTAACGGACGTTGCATCGAGGTCATTTATAGTTTCACGCGACGAAACGCAATCTCGGTGCACCGACAAGCGCGGTATATAACGATCCGCGGCCGCTTCCGCTCGCGCGCGCTCCACTTTGACTCGCTTTGCCAATACCGAAAAAACACAACGACAACGAAGAGTTGGGAGAAAC